ATCTAATCTTGTAATTTAAAGTAATTTAAGACATGTGCTTTGAACACAAAACACAAAGGCCTAGCCTCAGGATGACCTGGACTGGGGCAATTGGTCTTCTCTTCATGTTTTACTTTGGAATTGAACTCATTATCCTAAAAGTACACCTGGAACCTCTTTACCTTCATGTGATGGATGGCTCAGAGGTCACCGCAAGTCTTCAGAAGACAGGGCCTTGATGAATAAACCCCAGGGAGTCAAAAACTCAGAGATGTCAGGGAAGAAACTAAATGCTTTCTTTAGAAGCTTTTCCTTTGGGCTGCTCGTAAACACTTAAATTCTGTCATGACAGAAAGAAATTTAGCTGTAGTGACTTGTGGCTGAAGAAAAATATTGTTTAAATAAGAGTCAAAGCTGCTTTGAAGAATTTTTAAAGTGTAGTTTATATATTACATATTCAACCACTGGCTAATACAATTCAAATACTTTAGCTACTTTGTAGAAAAATTGCCATAATCCAGTGTCAGCACATGTCCACCATTCCAGAAAGTGCCCTTGTACCCATTTATAATCAATCTTATCCCCACTTGTAGAATTAATCAAAGTTTTGCTTTCTGTCACTATTAATTTACATCTGTATGTCTATCTAACTCTGTCTGTTTCCATATGTGTGTGGGAAAGTATAAAAAGACTCATTAGGGCTGGAGAGATGGCTCAGCAGTTAAGAGTACTAGTTGCTCTTGCAGAAGACCCAGGTTGGGTTCTCAGCACCCACGCCCACATGGCAGTTAACAACCATCCATAACTCCAGTTCCAGGGGAACGTGACGCCCTTTTCTGACCTCTGCAGGGACTGCACTGCATGAATGCCCTCACACACATGCAGGCAATGCACTCATACACATAAAATAAAAATAATACATATTTTTAAAGACTCATACTATGTATGCCTGAGTTCTCTACTTAACATAATATTTTGAGATCAATTTATGCTTTAACATGAACCAGTACTTTTTGTTGTTGCTGAACAATATTCCAGTCTCTAGATGTACAGTAGTCCATCCTTATCCTTGAGGAATATGATCCAAAATACCCGATGGATGTCTAAAGTCTCAGCATTGAGCCCTATGTACAAGCACTGCCAAACCTCAACAAATTAATCTGATGACCTCGATGGCTCCTGAGTGACTAAGGAGCACGTAGCATATACAGTGGAGACACATTAGACAAAGGGACAGTTCACATCACAGTAGGACAGCATGAGATTTTATCATGATATTCAGAACGGTGTTCAATTTAAAACTTACTAATCATTTGTTTCTAGAATTTTTAATTTAACACTTGTAGGTATGACAAGTAACCAAAACAATGGAAAACAAACCCATGAATGGGGGGTGGGGTATTACTATGCCCCGTCTTCTAATCTACTTCTCATTTATGCATTTGGACCCTTGCTAGTTTAGGATTGTTGTAAATACAGCTACTAAGGACATTCATGTGAACATGTTTCTGCAGACAACGTTTTCATTTCTCTTGGATGGATTTCTAGGAGCAAGATTGGTAGGCTGCATGGTAAATTTATGTTTAGCTTTTGAATGAAACTGCCAAACTATCTTTCACTGAATATTTCCACCTCAAAGTATGAGGGTTCAAGATGCTCTACATCCTCAAACATTCACTCCTCACCTTTAAGAAACACTGATGCAGGGACTGGAGAGATGGCGTAGTGGTTAAGAGGGCTTGCTGCTCTTTCCAAAGGACTTGAGTTCAGTTCCCAGCGCCCATGTCAAGTGGCTTACAACAGCCCTTAACTCAAGCTCCAGGAGCTCCAACACCCCTGAGGGCACCCACATACACATAGCACACACTCACACACATACTCATAGCACACACACACATACACATAGCACACACTCACACACATACTCATAGCACACACACATACACATAGCACACACTCACACACATACTCATAGCACACACACATACACATAGCATACACTCACACATACACATACATTTTAAAATTTAAAATATTAAATATCTTTTAAAAATATTGATGCAGCAACCCTTTTTCCTCCTCTTAGTGATATTTATACAAGAGACTTGATGTCAGTGGAGAGTGGAGACGTCTGCACCTCCAGTCCCGTTGGTGCGCTCTTCACAACACCAAGGTAGGGAATCAACTAAGTCTTCATCAGCAAGTGGATATGGTGGACAGTAAAGTATTATCCAGCCTTAAAAAAGACAAGATTGGGGCCGGAGCGATGGCCCAGCGGTTGGCAGCACTGACTGCTCTTGCAGGGAACCCGGGTTCGATTCCCAGCACCCACATGGCGGCTACAGACCGTCCTTAGCTCCAGTTCCAGGGGAATCCAAGGCCCTCTTCCGACCTCTGCGGCATTGTACGACACCGGTGCACTCACGTACATGCAGGCAATACACTCATACACATAAAATAAAAATAATAAATAAAATATTTTTTTAAAAAGATAAGATTAATGGGACGGACAAGATGGCTCAGGAGACTGAGGCTTAAAAGGAAAGAAATTCTGCCACTTTTGGAAACATGAAGTCGGGTAACACTATGCTGACTGAAACACTGCAGGCATGGAAAGACAAGCCTGCCACTCCTCTGTGGAACCTAAAACAGCCGATTCACAGAAACAGGTGAGAGTGTTGGTTACAGAGGCTGAGGTAGGGCAGGAAGGAGATGATGGTGACGGGGTACACGAAGCCTTGGTTAGGAGGATAAAAGCATTTTAGAAAACCTGCGCACAGTGAGATGGCTACTGCTATAAGAGTGTATTGTGGGGCTGGAGAGATGGCTCAGTGGTTAAGAACACTGGCTGTTCTTGCAGAAGACCGGGGTTCGAATCCCAGCACCCACATGGCAGCTAACAACTGTCTATAACTCCACTCCCAGGGAATCCGACAGCCTCTTCTGACCTCCGTGGGCATTGCACGACATGGGTGCACTTACCTACATGCAGGCAATACACGCATACACATAAAATAATAAAATATTTTTTAAAAAGAGTGTATTGTGGGCTGGAGAGATGGCTCAGTGGTTAAGAACACTTCTGTGAATGCAGAAGACCCGGGTTCGAATCCCAGCACCCACATGGCAGCTAACAACTGTCCATAACTCCAGTTCCAGGGAATCTAACAGCTTCTGTCCTCTGCGGGCATTGCACAACACAGGTACACTTACCTACATGCATGATACGGGTGCACTTACCTACATGCAGGCAAAACACACATACACATAGGAACTAGAGTTATGGACAGTTGTTAGTTGCCATGGGGGTGCTGGGATTTAAACCTGAGTCCTTTGCAAGAGCAGCCACTGCTCTTAACTGATGAGCCATCTCTCCATCTTATTTTTTATTTTTTTGTTCTTTTGGAGACAGGGTCTCCCTGTAGCCCCAGCTGTCCTGGAACTCACTATGTAGACGAGGCTGGCCTCGAACTCACAAAGATCCACCTGCCTCTGCCTCGCAAGTGCTGGGATTAAAGGCGTGCGCCACCACGCCTGGCAGCATCTTTTTTAAAAAATATTGTATTATTTTCATTTCATGTGTATGAGTGTATCGGTTGCATGTATGTGAGTGCACCCGTGTCGTGCAATGCTGCGGAGGTCAGAAGAGGGCTTCATCCCTAACTCTTCTTTTATTACTTTTCAGTTTTTTAAGAAGAGGGTCTCGGGGCTGCAGAGATGGCTCAGGGGTTAAGAACACTGACTGTTCTTTCAGAAGACCTGGGTTTGAATCCCAGCACCCACATGGCAGCTAACAACTGTCCGTAACTCCAGTTCCATGGGTTCCGAAAGTCTCTTCTGTTCTCTGAGGGCACTGCACAACATGGGTGCATTTACCTACTTGCAGGCAATACACACATACACATAAAAATAAATAAATAAATAAATAAATAAA